TGTTGAGTTTCTCTGTCTTTTATCATCACTTTCTCTGCCTTTTGCCATCACTTTCTCTTTGCTCTTTTCATAAACAACTTCTTTTTCTTTCATCTTTCAAGTGCTTCTTTTAAATTCCCTTAAATTTTACCATTTAAAAGATTTATTGATTTTCTAAAAGCTCCTGTCTTTCTTGAGTGTTGCTTCGAGGTCTTCGTAGAAGGCTTCTCGTTCATCTTCCTCGGCTTCGGAGGTAGCGTAGCAGCTGTAGACGGCGATTTCGGAGGAGTAGGCTTTCTGGTTAACAAGGACATCGTTGTTTATGAAAAGAGCAAAGAGAAAGTGATACAAGGCAGAGAAACTCAACAAATAATACTCGAATCTAAATGCTTCAATTTACCCAAGAAAAGCTCTGGTTTCTCGATGGCTTGAGGTGGAGGACTGCGAGTCGTGGAGAGATGATCTCGTCGCTATCAACGAGGGGCACGATGTCCTTGTTGACGAAGGAGCCTACTCCTCCGATGTTCTTGTTGGTGACTTTGTGGCCGAGTATGAGCAGGTCGCCGTTCGCCTGTGTCTTCGTGTAGTCATCTTTGGCCTTTTCTTGAAGGGCGATGCTGTCTAATTTGATCTTCTTGCTCATCTCATGGATGTCTTATCGTCTTGCGAGGCGGCTGTCCTGGCGTTGAAAGTGCAGAGTCGGAGGCTTGAGCTTTGTCGTCGAGTTCCGTTCCTTGGTCCGTTGTCCATATCCTGATGGGACATCGGGACTGACCACCAACTTGTCTCCAATCTTTCTCTCGAGTGATGGGAGTGCCCCGAGCTTTTCTTGGGTAAATTGAAGCATTTAGATTAGAGGATTATTTATTGAATTTCTCTGCCTTGTATCACTTTCTCTTTGCTCTTTTCATAAATAACTAGTGCTTCAATTAAATTACCTTAAATTTTATCATTTAAAAGGTTTATTGATTTTCTAAAAGTAGGTTTTAACGAATTTGAGAATGCTAGCATTTTTTTTGTTTTTTCAAATAAGCAAAACTTTGAGAAAAGGTGCTTTTTTTGGATTTGCAACTCTTTGAGAAGGATTTTCCATATCCTTTCGGATTTGCAACTCTTTGAGAAAGATTTCCCTTATCCTTCCGGATTTCCCAGCGATCCCATCTCATTCAAGAGATCTTCAAGAGATCAAGAGATCTCAGAATTCATTTATTCAAACTCTAATATCTTTACTTCTTGATTATTTCATTGATTTTGATTATTTGATTGATTGAATAAAGAAAATAGTTTTGAAATTCCTTTTAAACTTTATCGATTTCTAAAGTTCAAAATAAATTTTAGACAAAACGACCGAAGGATTTCCGTTTTCTCCTTAACTAAAAATGTTTTAGCATGACTCAGAGATTGATTTATTAAACAAAAAGCTTTAGATCGTTGATTTTATCATAAAATTTGACTCTCTATCTATAAAGGAACTCTATATAAAGTACTGGACAATGAAATATATGGACATATTTGAAAAACGATCGTCACTTTCGCGCGCTGTAACTCCATTGTCATTTGTCTCCATTGTCAGTCTCCATTGTCAGTGTTATACACTTTCTGAAAGCTCTTTTTAAGGGCTACACAATGATAATATTAATATTTTGAAATACGGTATTTTTTGACGCTTAGGCTTAGGCTCATTGTCCAGTACTCAATAATGATATTTCATTGTCCAGTACTCAGTACTTGTACTAGTTGTACTTGCTCTTGTACTTGTACTAGTTGTACTTGTTCTTGTTGTACTTCTACTAGTTGTACTTCTACTAGTTGTACTTCTACTAGTTGTACTTCTACTAGTTGTACTTGTTCTTGTACTTGTTCTTGTACTTGTACTAGTTGTACTTCTACTAGTTGTACTTGTTCCTGTACTTGTACTAGTTCTACTTGTACTAGTTGTACTTGTTCTTGTACTTGTACTAGTTCTACTTGTACTAGTTGTACTACTTCTACTAGCTGTACTTGTACTAGTTCTACTTGTACTAGCTGTACTTGTACTAGCTGTACTTGTACTTGTACTAGCTGTACTTGTACTTGTACTAGCTGGACTTGTACTTGTACTAGCTGTACTTGTACTTGTACTAGTTGTACTTGTTCTTTTACTTGTACTTGTACTAGTTGTACTTGTTCTTGTACTTGTACTCGTACGTAGTTGTACTTGACAGAAGTACTTGTTCAAAACTCTATACAACGAAATGCAATTTTCGTCCCGGTCGACACTAAGCTATATAAAACTCTATAGAACGAAAGCTCTATATAACGGAAACATTTTTTCTCGTCTCTTCAATCATAGAGAGAGTCGACTCTCATAATTCTAAGCTAAAGCTGACGTCTGATCGATTCCTCAGCGATTACCCTGTCCTCCCCTTCAACGGGGATTTTCCCATCAGCCTTAAGGCTTTTCCCCTCGAAACAGAAGATTCGACAAACAATCTCTTCCCTCTTTTCCTCGATTTTCTTTCATTTCTTTCATTTCTTTCTCTTCCAAATCATGTCCATCACTTTTTTTTCAATTCTTTCATCTTTCTTTTGTCATCATTCTCACAAATTCCTTTCCGAATTCGAGGATTTTCTTTTTTACTATTTTCCTTATTATCAGTTTTATCATTTTTACCAGTTTAGAATAGTTTCAAAAGTTTATTAACTATTAGGGTCATGGGTATGGGTATGAGGGTCATGGGTATGGGTCATGGGTCATGATGACACACGACTCGGGCACCGGCGGAGGCACCCCGACGCCGATTTAATCTGAAGCAATATTTAAGAGCGACGCTGACCTGCTCGCAGAATTGGCAGAATTGGCAGAATTGATCGCCGAATTCGGCATAGCAGAAATGGAAAGAAGATTCGGGATCAGCGCAAAATTCTGCGTCAAGTTTATGCGAGTTTCTAGTTTATGGCTCATTTCATTTAACCACTTTGCTCACTTGATAGTACAAGTACTAGTTGTACTAGTTGATTTTCCCTTGTAAGTACGAGAGCTTATGGACAAAAGTTTCCAATCAATGACGAATAAGCAAAAGAAATTGGTCGATCACTGGTAAGTGAGCTCAACCTTATTGTAGCTTTATTGTAGCTCTGAAGGTGAATTTGAAACTTTAACAACTGTTCAATTGTACTAATAGTCTGTCAACTTGGCCATAAACCTTTTGGATATCAAAAGTTATAAGCGAGTTTTGTATGAGATTTGAAAAATCATCCTAACTTTATACGCATATTTCCAAAGGGTCTTCAACGAGCAATGATGACCGAGTCGGTTAGAATACGAGGGAAATCATCTCCATTTTGAGTTCACACCTTGATTTTCTTTTCACCTTAATCAATCTCTTTCTAGATCAATCTCTTTCTAGATCAAGCACTTTCTAGATCAATCTCTTTCTAGATCAAGCTCTTTCTAGATCAATCTCTTTCTAGATCAAGCTCTTTCTAGATCAAGCTCTTTCTAGATCAATCTCTTTCTAGATCAAGCTCTTTCTAGATCAAGCTCTTTCTAGATCAATCTCTTTCTAGATCAAGCACTTTCTAGATCAAGCTATTTTTAGATCAAGCTCTTTCTAGATCAATCTCTTTCTAGATCAAGCACTTTCTAGATCAAGCTCTTTCTAGATCAAGCTCTTTCTAGATCAATCTCTTTCTAGATCAAGCACTTTCTAGATCAATCTCTTTCTAGATCAAGCTCTTTCTAGATCTCTTTTTATAGATTGATCTCCATTTCAAATCAAAGTCTTTTTAAAGCTACTTCTCAAAGAAATGTTTACTTTTAAACTATTAACATTGTTAGTAAGATGATTTTTGAAATCTCATATAAAGAAGTTATTCGTAAAAATTCGATTGTTCGATTGTATCATTTTGGGGGGTAACTTTGGAAATCCTGTTCATTGGTGATGTCATTTGGCCACCTTGCCCACTTATCATTCCTTTGTTAGAAAATTTGCGTTTACTCGTTTACTCGTTTGCTCGTTTGCGTAAATTCTAAATGAATTTATCTTGTTTATCAATTTTAAAGCATTATGTTGAGTGATTTCAACACAAAACCATTTTTTTTTCTTTCTATTGCACATCCTTTTGTGGACTCATTCTGGAAAAAAAGGCCGACTAAAAGAAAAAAAAAAGGATGTCATTTCTTGTGCTAGAATGTCTCAAAGAGATCTCTCAAGATTCTTTGTACTTTTTTCTTTCCGATCTCAAAGACATTTAGCTCAAACAGTCACGCAGCTTGTAATTTGCTTTGTGCTTTGTGCTTTTTGCTTTTGAAAATGGAAAACTACTCTTCCTGAAAATGGAAAGCTACTCTACTCGCTAAAAAGAGTACGTTTAACCGTTTTGTAGGCACCGTTTAACCGTTTTGTAGGCACCGTTTAACCGTTTTGTAGGCAAAAACACGACAACGACACGACAAAAGGTAAATCTAGTGTCGTTGATTCATTTAAAAACCGATTTCTAACCGAACTTGAACTCTGAAACGATTTCTATTCTATTCTAACTCGTAAAAACCATTCTTCTTTTTGTTTAAATCATTCTTCTTTTGGTTTAAACCATTCTTCTTTTTGTTTAAACCATTCTTCTTTTGATTTAAACCATTCTTCTTTTGATTTAAACCATTCTTCTTTTTGTTTAAACCATTCTTCTTTTTGTTTAAATCATTCTTCTTTTTGTTTAAACCATTCTTCTTTTTGTTTAAATCACTTTTCTTTTTGTTTAAACCATTCTTCTTTTAAATCATTCTAAATCCCCTAAACTTATTGATTTTCTAAACATTTGAATGTTTAGGAAATTCCTTATCATCTTTTCAACCTCAAAACCCTATCACCCATCTTTTATCTATTGTATCTATTGTAAAAACGATTGCCTAAAGATTAAGGTTCTATATTTTCTCTCTGTTTACCACTTTGACTGTACTTGTCAATCGAATCTTGTTGTCAGATTTGCCCATCCATTCAAACATTCGAAACTAAACCCTTCTTCACTCTCATTTCTCATTTATGTCTACCAACTACGACACGTCGAATCTTTTCTCGGTGACTCGAGAAGGATCGCTGAAAGAGTTGTCGAGAGAGATCAAAATTCCCGGTGAGTTTTTGGGAATCTTTGTTTCAAATGTTTACTAGGGATTTTGATGGGTTTGAAAGGGATCCGAGAGATTAGTAGTAGTGAAAGAGATTAGTATTAGTAGTCAGATTAATAAAACCGATAGAATCTAGCCTAAGCTTGGTCCGAAAAATTGTCTCTAGAATCATTTTTGTATTGTAATAAGCCTCTAGGATGATTTTTGTATTGTAATGAGCTTCTAGAACAACTTTTGTATTGTAGTAAGCCTTTAGAACAACTTTTGTATCGTAGTGACCCTCTAGAACAATTTCTGTATTGTAATGAGCTTCTAGAACAACTTTTGTATTGTAATAAGCCTCTAGAATCATTTTTATATTGTAATAAGCTTCTAGAATCATTTTTATATTGTAATAAGCCTCTAGAATCATTTTTATATTGTAATGAGCTTCTAGAACAATTTTTGTATTGTAATAAGCCTCTAGAGCCATCTTTGTATTGTAATAAGCTTCTAGAATCATTTTTATATTGTAATAAGCCTCTAGAATCATTTTTATATTGTAATAAGCTTCTAGAATCATTTTGCATGCTTTTTTATCACTAATAGTCAGAATTGACTTATCTTTGACTTCAAAAAAACTAAATTTTAACTCTTAAAGAACAAAGATGATCAAAAACTCGATAATTGGTCGCTTTTCTGCAAACAGTTTTGCCAATTCAACGCAAACACATTCATAAATGCATACACGGATACTTCTTCTAAAGTATCTGTAAGTATATTGTCTGACTCTTTCCCCCCTTGTTCCCCTTTTGCTTATGTGTGAATACTGGTTATTTCTCTTCTCTTCTTTTTCCCTCTTTCCTCTTCCGAATCCAGTCATTGTTCCCCTCCAGATCAACGCCATTTCCACCTAAAGCCATCTCATGTGCTCAATCGTTTTCTTTATCTTGATAACTTTATTGTTTTTCTTTGAAATTAAGCTTAAACTTGGTATGTTTTTGATTTTTGCTTTGTTTAAAAGTCAGTAAAATGATTTTTCGAGGCTATAGGATAGGAATTGGATTAGTTTAGATTTATTGGGTTGGTGAATTGAAAACTGCGGAACTTTGAACTAAAATAGGACTGGAGAGGTCCCAGTTTGGGCGCTTTCTTCAAAAGAAACCCATTTTGGTTTCAATAGAAAAGTTGTAGAGAATCAAAAATTAGGCTTATAGCCAAATTTCCAAAAAGATACACTTAGTAGTTTCGCTTAAAATGCAAGTTTTGTGAAAGTTTCGTAAATTTGGCATTTCTTGAAAACCAGTTTTTGAATCATTCTGAAAATTTGGATATAAGTTTGATTTTTGATTCTCTACAACTTTTCCATTGACACCAAAATGGGTTTCTTTTGAAGACTGGGACATCTGGAGCTCAAACTGGGACACTGGGACATCTTGGGCCAAACCGGGACACTGGGACATCTCCAGTCCTCCATTTTTGCGTCTCCAGTAGTTTTCGTATCCAATAGATTGAGATTAGCCTTGATTTGAGGAGAAGTCAATGTCCAATTTGAGGATTCCAAGCCGGCCAGATTAGTTTGGGAAAGGCAGAGGGAAGGGGGTTATGTAAAAGCCCTGCGCCAGACGACGAGCGATTACGCGGCCGCACGAAGAACACACAGAACACACAAATTTTTAGCGAAACTACCAAGTGTATCTTTTTGGAAACCTGGATATAAGCTTGATTTTTGGTTCTCTACAACTTTTCCATTGACACCAAAATGGGTTTCTTTTGAAGAAAGTGCTCAAACTGTCACATATGACAATGGCCCGCAGTTTTCAATTCACCAACCCAATATATCGACTATTTTAACGATCATTTGATGAAGGATGAAATAACGCATCGAATGACACCAAAAACAACTTAAAATATAATATTCATGCAAAATCAAATATTGGTCAAAATACGGCTGAAAAAATGAAAAAAAAGAGCCGTACAGTAAGGCAGAAAGACAGACAGAAAGACAGACAGAAAGACAGACAGAAAGACAGACAGAAAGACAGACAGAAAGACAGACAGAAAGACAGACAGAAAGACAGACAGAAAGACAGACAGAAAGACAGACAGAAAGACAGACAGAAAGACAGACAGAAAGACAGACAGAAAGACAGACAGAAAGACAGACAGAAAGACAGACAGATACCGTAACCCCCCCCCCCCTCCTTTTCCGTCGTTTCATCTGTGAAAATTCGTAAATTTGGTATTTCTTGAAAACCAGTTTTTGAATCGTTCTGAATATTTGGATATAGGCTTGTTTTTTGATTCTCTACAACTTTTCCATTGACACCAAAATGAGTTTCTTTTGAAGAAAGTGCTCAAACTGTCACATATGACAATAGCCCGCAGTTTTCAATTCACCAACCCAATAGATTTAGTCTTTGAGAAATCACCAAACTTCTCTACGAAATTTCTTTTCAATCCAAGCTAAATTTGCCTTTATAAACTCAAAAATCGTTTTTTAAACTTGTTAGTCAAAAGAAAATTGAGATATTTGAGTGTTTGTTCGATCAAAAAAAAAAAAAAAAACGCTCTTCGATAAAGATCTAACGATTCTCGAACTAAAATTGATCTTTTCAATAGAATAATAGAAAAAGAAAAAGAAATTGACGAAAATTGATCTTTTCAATAGAAAGAGCTACCCGTTTTACTGTTTAATTTACAGAATATCTATTCATAAATCAATCTATATCTATTAGCTTTTTTTGTAAGCACTAATTACAAGCTTTCTCCATTCAATCACCTTAAACATTTGACGAAATGGAGTCACCAGGTGAATTTTGTTTAATTTAAGCGAGTTGCTTAACGAGTTAAACGAGTTAAGCAAGTTAATCGCTAAAATGTACAAAAAAATCCTGAGTTAAGCGCTAAAATCCACAAAATGCACAAAAAATTGGGGAAATTGGGGAAAACATAAAGAAAAGTATCGAAAAGACTCGAAAAGACACGAAAAGACTCGAAAATAGTGCTAACTTTGCAATATTTTAGAATCCCCAATGATGGACGGGAAATTCCGGCCGAGGGTTCACGTGTTTGGCCCATTCGAGCAAATGGTCCGTTTGAGTGGATGCGATTTACAGGAGTCCATTTTTAGGTAAAAATCTTAAAATAAACTTAATGAAAGCAAAAAAGCAAAAAAGCAATAAATAGCAATAGAATTAGCAATAGAATTAGCAATAGAATTAGCAAAAAGTTTTCTTCTCAGCTGGGCCGAAAGCCGAAAGCGCGGCGCCACCGGCAGGGCCGTCATCTCAACGCTTCTCTTCGTCCTTGTGCTCGTCGTTTTCTTCGCCAAATTCTTCTATATTATGAGCAATGATGCTAAAGTGAGCTTAAAGATTTACCGTAAATACTGTAATAGTACCCCACCCCCATAATGACGGTTGAAGCATCGCGTAGTCTAACTTTAAACGCGTTTTTCTCGACACTGGTTTATGCAACAATGCGCGCTTAGATATCAAAAAAAAAGCCCTGAATTTCAGCTATTTTTTGATATTTAAACGAACACTATAGCATAAACCAGTGTCGAGAAAAACGCGTTCAAAGCTAGACTACGCAACACTCCGCACCGTCATTATAGAGGTGGGGTACTATTACAGTATTTACGGTCGTTTTTTTTGCCAGCAAGACGTTGACTATGCTAGAAACAAATTTCCAGGCATTCACCGTGATCTGGGCTGAATCGAACATGGAAACGGGGGTTTTCCTGTTCGCAATCGCTGCCGCTATCTGTTTAGGCATTTGGACACACGCACAGTACTTTAGAGTGTTCCACGAGAAACTCGATGCATTAGAGGAGGTGGGAATAGCTAGACTGCAAGAGAATATACGTAAATGGAATCATTTTTTCGATTGTGGGACCTTTTATACGCTCAGGCTCAGTCTGGTCTGGCTTAGATTCTAGAAGTCCAAGCCTGGCTTCTGATCTGGCTTTGCCTTAGCCTGGTTATCAGCCGTGCTTGAACTGCTTTGATCTAGCCGGACACATTACCTTTAGCGTAGCTGATGTTAGTCAGTGAAAAAATGTCTTCAAAAGCCCCGATTTTTAATCATTTACACCACAGGGCCCAGTCCGTTCGGAAGAGAGTTTCTCCAGGACTCACATCAAAGCGTTCATCTTCTCGATCATTTGTTTGACGGGCATTTTAGCGCATTCGGGCCGGGATTTCATCTGGGTTCGAGAAGTGAATGGAACGGTTGGGTGGGTGGATAAATGAATTTCATTGAACATTTGGGCATTCCAGTGAACTCCAGTTGAACTTCGGGAATTTCTGGGGTGCCGAGCCGCTGGTGAGAGGGCTTGTCGGTGAGTTGATCGGTTGATTGTAAACTAAAAGCTAAAGCTAGCTCAAAGCCCGTTAAATGCAATAAATTCAACAAACAAATAGTCAGGCAAACACGACTGAATATCTTTCCCGAGTATCATTATATTGTGAGTCGCCGAGGTTCTAAAAAAAACTGGACCAATTTTTCCCCAAAATAAATAGCAAATTAAGAATCTAGGTCATTAAAAACCGTAGAAGCAAAAATTAGTGCGCTTTGGCTCAATAGAGATGAATGTACACTGTCCCCCAACTACTATAGCACCGTGGAGACAAATTTCAACAATAAACATACCGTAAATACTGTAATAGTACCCCAGCCCCATAATGACGGTGCGGAGTGTTGCGTAGTCTAGCTTTGAACGAGTTTTTCTCGACACTGGTTTATGCTACAATGCTCGTTTAAATATCAAAAAATAGCCCTGAATTTCAGCTATTTTTTGATATTTAAACGAGCATTGTAGCTTAAACCAGTGTCGAGAAAAACGCGTTCAAAGCTAGACTACGCAACACTCCGCACCGTCATTATCTTTGGTATCAAAAAATAGCCCTGAATTTCAGCTATTTTTTGATATTTAAACGAGCATTGTAGCTTAAACCAGTGTCGAGAAAAACGCGTTCAAAGCTAGACTACGCAACACTCCGCACCGTCATTATCTTTGGTATCAAAAAATAGCCCTGAATTTCAGCTATTTTTTGATATTTAAA